GCAGATATGTATTTCGGTCCTGCCTATTGTACGTGACGTCCCGTTCTGTGCTGTGGGAGTGCTACCGTCATCGAAAGAGGCCATCTGCCCTCATGGAGGTGACATTCAAGAGTGAATATCTAGTCTTCCGTAGTCTCTGTCATATGTTGGCACTCAGAGCGATGACACCAAAACTGGCGATGTGAATAACAACAAAAAAGGGATGGAGAAGAATGGACCTAATTGGCTTTGTACTGACAGCCTTTATATTCATCTGACAAAATGAACCACTCATTCACATTTATACACGTGTATGGACTGATACAAAATCCATAGATGGAAATGAAAAACTGAAGTAAAAAAGCATACATCTTGTATGTTCCTTCCCAAATGAAAAAAAAAAGTGGGCCTAATTTTTAGAATAAAGAATATGGTTTTATGTGGCTTCGTATTTTTAATATCTACCGGGAAAATGCATTCAGCTGTGCTAAGATTAGTCATTCTAGTTGCATAAAAGCATGGGAAATGATCACATGTTAATTTCTGCTGACCTCTTTTATGTTAAACCATGTAAAGTACTTTTTCAATTAGGAAGCTGATTTGATTTACCAAGAGTTTAGATTAGAAATGTCTGAGCTGAATTGAAAACCAGATTATAAATCATTTCAGTGTGACATTTGGATAAAATATAAAGATAATCTGAGTTTATTTATGATGTCCCATCAGGGAAATTCATGAGAATTAACTTTCTCATGACGGTTCTAATAATAATCATTTCTGACCACATTAGAAATACTGTATTTTCCACATGAAGAAAGTTTGCTTAACATTTCATATCCTATTTTGATATCTAGCTGAAACCAAGGAGGACAAAAAGGTATTACAATTATTTTGAAAATGGAGTATTTTCAAAGACGATGTAATACAGGAGAAGGCATAACAATTTACATTGTAGAGAACAAGTTCAATTGCACACGACACTTGTCTGGGGAGCTTTTCAAAAAATTCTTAACGTCTGGGTCATAATCCAGATGCATCAAATCTGAGCCTCCAGAAGTGGGGATCAGGTGCTGGTACTTGTTCCAAACTCCCCCCAGGTGATCCTAATGTCCAGTCAGGGCTGAGAACCACGTTCTAGAGGCATGACCTTGGGCAAGCGAGGTTAAGAGAAAGCTCTGAAGATGGCCCTGAGCATAAGCTGGTGATGCCACGGGTTTACCTCTCTGACAAGATTCTGCAAGCACTACAGAAGAAAAGGCTAAAAAGTTCCTTGAGGGCGCCTGGGTGGCTCAGTCATTAAGCGTCTGCCTTCGGCTCAGGTCATGATCCCAGGGTCCTGGGATCGAGCCCCGCATCGGGCTCCCTGCTCCGTGGGAAGCCTGCTTCTCCCTCTTCCGCTCCCCCTGCTTGTGTTCCCTCTCTCGCTGTGTCTCTCTCTGTCAAATAAATAAATAAAATCTTAAAAAAAAAAAGTTCCTTGAAATTAAGTAAATCCTCAGAACAGCAGTGGCGACTTCCAGGCTGTTCTTTGAACTGATCCTGTCTTGAAATCAGTGCTCAAAGTATCTGGGCGCCTGCCTCTGTAGCAAAAGCAGCGTCAGAAAGTGGGAAGGAGAAACGCCTGTAAACGCGAGTGTGTGTTTGTGCACTTATTAGAATTAGTTTTTATTTCTCAAGTGGAAGAATAATTGTTTCATGGCTTTGTTTTTGTGAAATTTCTTCTTGCCTGTGCATCCTTTCTTTTGTGCACATCTTAAGACACAAAACACAAGTAGAAGAAACTTAGTCAAACCATAATTGAAGCTTTGGACTGTTTTTTAATTTACTGACCCATTATCAGCACACGTTTCTGGGCTGTGTGTTAAGGGGGATAAGGATGAACAAGATGGGGTACTGGCCATGATGAATTAGGTTATTATTGACTAAGTCTTAGAAGTAGGGTAGTTGTGAATAAATGAATGTAGTAGTTGTGTTCGACTTCACCAGAGAAACAGAGCCAGTAGAGTGGGTAGGTGGTAGGTGGGTAGATAGATATAAAAGGAGATTATAGGAATTGGTTCCTTCCCTTGGGAGACAAAGTCCCATGATCTATAAGCTGAAGAACCAGGAAAGTGGACAGTGTCATTCAGGTCCAAGGCCTGAGCAGCAGCTGGTGGGGAGGAGGGGGGTGATTGGTGTAAGTCCCAGAGATCTGAGAGCGTCACAGACAAAAACACGGAGAGAAAAATGCGTGAAGGAAGTGACCTAGAGAAAGTAGGAACATGAGTCGTTTGGCTATGGTGGATGAGGCTCTGAGCAGTGAAGATTCTGTGTCACCTGGTGTTGTTAACGTAATGTGGAATCATCTACGGCACCAGAAAACTGCTTAACATCCCAGTTTCTCTGGTTTCCATCTTAAAATTTACAACTTAAAAGAGCTCAGTTAAGAAACAGGCAATAACAATTCACATAAAAGCTTTTTGGCCATTTTCATCAAGCAGTTTACATGATCTTTTGTGGCTCTATATTTATTTGAACTCCGGGGTGGCATCTCCAGAACAGTAAATCTGTTTCTAAATATTGGGTATAATCAATGGTGTAATCGTGATGAAAGTGTCCATGAAATATGCCTCATTTGAATAGCACTAAGGTGTTATTTTTGACCTCCCTTCTCTCTTAACCTTAATTTTCCTCTTGCTCAGTTGCCTTAGTTAACTGAGTGACATTAATTTTAGAAAGACTTAGGTATTTTCTGAGAAGATATTTTATTGAAGTGTCTATTGTAGTAAGTAATAGGAATTTCACCTTCAGGTAGACAGTCTACCATTTATCCATTTTGACATTAGAAAAAAAAAAACTGGCCGTTTTGGTGAAAAGTCCAGCTGAAAATTGCATCACAGTGGAAGTTAAAATGTTGTGTTTGTCACTCTCTTTCACTTTCCTTCAATTATGTTGGCATCATATAACCACAGTAACAATTCTGTTAGACCTTACCCGCCCAACACTCAAAGTTGTCTTTCTCCCTCCTTTGCTCTCCTTCCTTTCCTTTTTCCCTTTCTTTAATTCTTTCTAAGATTATTTATTTGACAGAGGGAAGGCGGGGAGAGAGAGAGAGAGGGAGAGGGAGAGAGCAGAAGCAGGGGGAGCGGCAGGGAGAGGGAGAAGCAGACTCCCTGCTGAGCAGGGAATCCGATGAGGGGCTTGATCCCAGGACCCTGAGATTATGACCTGAGCGGAAGGCAGATGCTTAACCCACTGAGCCACCCAGGTGCCCCCTTTGTTAATTTTAACAAAGAAGCCTTCTGTTTCTACCTGAACCACCTTTTATCAAGGTTTGGGCTGCAGCAAACTCCCTTTTCATTCCAGGCTGACGTTACTTATCAACCCCAGCATTCTTTTTTTCAGACCTCTCCTTACTTGTTCTCAAGTCCAGTGCTCCAGGCAGCTGCTACCAATAGGTGGAAGTAGTCCCTATTCTGTAAGAAACCTGGCCAAAAACCTTATCCTGGTTCTATTGTAACAAGATCCCAGACCCTGAGACTCACCTGGGGATAGTCTGGGCTTCACCTGGACCCACTGAAACAGAATCTTCTGGGGAGCCGCTAGGAAACTTTGTTCAGTACAGCTGTGTTGAAGGGTTTTACTGTTTGTCCTGAACAACATTTTGGAGAACAAATGTATACACAAAACATCTTTCTATTCTCCCTAAAACAAAATTTCTCCTGGACAAACTAAATGTCTCCAGGACATTTACTGCAACTAATTTAACTTCCAAATATTAGCCTTATTTACGTAGGCATAAATTATGAGTTTGCCCAGGAAGCTTTATCTAGAGGTCAAGGTTCTAGGAGACAGGGTGCCTAATGATTTAGAGAATGGTCACTAAAAATGTATGATTAACGTGGTACCAGTGACTGGTGTTCAAAATTAAATAAACCCACGTTCCACATCCTTATCCAGCCAGGCTGATGCAACTGTAATTACCTTTGGAATTAAGCTCAGGTGGAATGGAACTGTCACAGGGCAATTGAAGAAGGTGGGAAGAAAGCAAAAGGATCCTTAAGGTACTATATCTTACTCTCCCCCAAAACCACTTATTTGAAATCACGTTAATGGGATCCCAGCTAGAAAGCAAAGAAGTCGCTCTAACAAAAGAAAGAAATTATCATTGGGAAGATCAGTTTTTCTCTGTACAGTTTATTATTATTATTATTGCCCAGCAGTAATACTTAATAATTATTATTATTACAGTCATTATTATTATTATTATTATTATTATTATTATTATTATTATTGCCCAGCAGTAATACTTAACTTATGTTTGGCTTTCTGGCTCTTTATGCATTTGCCAAAGTGCCTTTTGATGTGTTTTATTTACTACTCAAATAATCTGGTTTTTCAGGTCTTTTTTATTTTGTTCAAAATAGTCACAATAAACTAAATGTAAACCATAGGGCAGTGTGTCTTAAATGCTAGGCATTATTAATATTGTTAATTAGACACAGTGACCTTCCGTGTGCTCGGTTATCACCTTCCAGCTTCTATAAACTGTGCCGTAAGCACTGAGGACCACATTGCTCTCTTTTTTCCCCTAGAGTCTTTAATGCAAGAAATGTCTTAACAAGTGCTCTGGTACTGTTGCCTGTAATGCTAGACACATGATCAAAGCAAAGGTGCAAATTCTTTGCCGCAGATGACACACTGCAATTGCATCTGCATGGCCCATGTTGGTTTAAACTGCTCTCCCGCCACCCACTTCCCCCCAGTCATGCTGTTCACCCATCTCCTCATGAGGTTACCTGCTAGAGATCATTTCTACAGACGCAAACCACCTGGTGAGAGAACGGTCCTGTTGCACAGCATAACTCACCGTGACCCCGTCCTGTGCGCCAAGTGTGAGGTGACAGAGAAGTAGGAGTCAAGGGTATTTTGCACATGGCTGAAGGAGAAGACTTGGGGATAAACATGTTTATTTTCTCTGCTGTCTTAGAATAACATGGTTTCAAGATAACTAATGATAAAATTATTTTCAAATGCTGTAGGTAGCCCTAATGGAGAACCTTGTGGAAAGACTTGTCTGGAAGAAAGAGACAATCAGTGGTTGGGGGTCACGCTTTCCAGACAGCCAGGAGAAAATGGCTCCATTGTGGTAGGTTACTAGGTTACTTAGTTACTAGGTTACTAAGTCCAATGATAATGTCGTGGATTCAGATATTCTGGGTGTGATGTTCACATCATTTGGTCTACTTTTATGTTTTATTTAGACTTGTGGGCATAGATGGAAAAATATATTTTATATAAAGAATGAAAATAAGCTCCCCACGGGTGTTTGCTATGGAATGCCCTCTGATTTACGAACAGAACTGAGTAAAAGAATAGCTCCATGCTATCAAGGTAAGGAATCCTTTTGATATTAACTGGATCAAGAGAAACAAGTGAATGCCTTTAATTACTTTTTTTAATTTTCAATTTTGCATGTACAGAGGATGGGGGAGAGATCTTTAAAATAGCTGTATTCTTTTTAACAACTCAGAGTATTTCCTTTTCTTACTCAATTGCAGTAGTAGTTGCAAGAAATGTGCTTTGTGTTTTGAGGAATAGAAATTTGTCCAGTTATGTTTGAATGTAGTTGATAATTACCCACTTTTGTATTAGATATGTTTTTAATTCTGTGTAAGTCTAATGCCCAGCATATATCAGATACTTAAAATCATGAAATTATGATTGAAAATTTGAGATTGAAAGGTCTGACAAGATGAGAACTGTTTAGATTTTTTGCTTTATCTTTAGCTTCCAAGAATATTCAGGAAGATTCAAATATAAGTGTAAGCAAATCTTTCCCACTCACTGTCTTTTGTTTTTTAAATTCATATGCATTCCTTGATAAGGGGTTGGTATCTTAAGTTTGAAAAGATTTCCCATGAAAATTCTAGGCCATTAGGAGCAGTAGTGTATGCAGAGCTAGGCCATAAACAATTAAGTGAGCAAAATTAGGGGTGAATGTCAACAGAGCATTAAAAACAGATCTGTAGCAGAAATAAAATTCTAAAAATGTGTCTTTGGAAAACTAAGAATTAAATATATATGTATTCCATTTTCCACATTCTTCTAACTAAGATGATTACCACAGTGTTCAAAGAACATTTCTATTACCTGACAGAATTTGACCATGTATGCAAATTCAGTTATTCTATTCATATTGGGGTTCTCTGTGGTATGGGATGTCTTAGAAAAGCTCATTTAATATATCTCTGATTTGCCTTTGAGTGTCAAGAAGACAAAAGGTGAATTTTAAATTCTTAATTGAAATAAAACTCAGTCTAGTGTTTTGTATGTTTATCATTCTCATTTTCTTAATGGTTTATGGTTTACACTTTAAAACATTTTCATAGAATTTTTTTTGTTGTTCAGATACACCCAGCCACATTCTAAAAACAAATTCAAGATGGCATAAACTTATAGCACCTAAGACTATGGGGAAATTTATTAAAAAAAAAAAAAAAGTCAGGGAAGATCTAAAAAGGAGTGGAAAAATCATGGCCAAGACTAGTAATTACAAATGACTTAACAATTTATTTAACTTTTCTAACTTTTAACTTTATCTATTAAATAGTGAAACTATTTAACTTTATCTAACTTTTCTTTGGTTAGTAAAGCCAAAACAAAGATGTGGTCCTGATTCTTATTTTTGTAGAGGTTTACTTAGGTCAGTTCTTCAGGAGAAGCAGAGATTTGTCTTCCTAGTAAGTTCCAAAAGCATCCAATTCATGGGGGCTTTGTAGTAGGAGACCCTCCATCTCCATGCAGATCCGGACTCACTATTCCTTTCAGCTGGGCACAATTTAGGAAGCCTATTTTAAATGCAAACCTGGACTGGAAGCTGCAAGTCCTACATCTGTCTTAGATACTCATTTGACAGTTTTATTGAGCATATGCTGCATGTTCTTCCCGTGAAAAAGAGGCAGAGGTCAATATTTTTATTGCCATTTTGGAGGAATATCTTTGAGGATTAATATGAAAGATTGGTGATATTACATTTATCAAAGTGACTGTTTTACAAATGAGATAGTATAAAATATCAACCTTAAAAGATGCATTTGTAAGGATTTGCAAGATTAACAAAATTATGCGAATTTTGCCTATTTTTCAATGAAATCCTGAATTGTTTTTCTACTTCATTTTAGATTATGTGAAAAAATTTGGAGAAAATTTTGCATCATGTCAAGCTGGAATATCTAGTTTTTACACAGAGGTAATAGTCCAAAAAATGGCTCTTTAAATGTTTACATATAGGATTTTAATTCTTAAGATTGAGACTGTGATATTATGTTTTACAGTAAAAAAAAATTGTATAATCTCTGAATAATATGTCTCTTAAACTTGAGTATATTACAACTTAATTTTTACTACTCAATATTCCACATATACTTTTGAAAAGTTAATACTTAAGATGGCTGTGCCATATAAGATCAACTAAAAGTCTACACTAAAGAACATTACCTGCATCAAGAAGTTTCATTATGTTCAATTAGCCAACATGTAGTACATCATTAGATTTTGTAGTGTTCAATGATTCATTAGTTGCATATAACACCCAGTGCTCAACATTTAATAGGAATCAAAAGTAGCTATTGTTATTTGCTTTAATTTAGATGCTTAAAATTTCTATCCAAATATGTTACTTTTAATTACTAGTTGAGGGAGAAAAGCATATGAATCTATGTCCCTCATTTAAATTATGAGAATTGAGAGATTTAAGAATTTAGTATCATCTTAAGTTAAACATATTCCCAAGCTCTATTTTTTCTCTAACAGTTGAGGATATACAATCAAAGGTCACGGTTGTATCCAACCCCCAAGTCTCCCAGTTTCCCTTCAAAACTCATTAAGAATTTATGAATGTTTTCTGAATCTGTGGTCAGGCCTTAGGTTAACAATTTCCATAAATATTATCTACTGTGTTTAAAAAAATCTTTATATTTAAATTGACCTTTTTAAGAGTTCAGGATTGTTTAAGGAATTTAGATATATGTTGAATACTTTTTGGTTGCTAAAAGTTATCATATTTCACCAGACAAATGTATCTGTTCATTTTAAATTTCCCTTTGTTTCCTTTTCCTAAATTTGGATTTATCACCAAATATGCCCCAAATTCCACTGGATTTATTAATTTCTAAGCTAGCATTGTTAAGAAACTAGTCAATGGCTCTTTGCAAATAGGAATAAATTAAGTCCATTTTTGGTCTTTGGCAACATGTGATTCTCTCCATAATAAGCACTAATGAATTATCCAGATACGATTCACTTTAACAGAAACCACATTGCCTGTCTCCTAAAAGCTTAGTCTAGTATTCCATGATTCTTGCTTCAATTTAAAGTCCACTGCTAAGTGTGAGTTTCTTTTCTGAAATTGTGCCTATAGATGAAAATTCATTAACTGGCTTCTGGCTTTTTTCTGATATGTTTTTAAATTCATCAAATGTTCAGATTTTAGAAATGTATTATAAAAATGTATTCTCATCATTATTTACTTAAAATGTATATCTGGAGGAGGTTTTGGGTGGATTAAACTTTGAATTGATGATAAATTGTTTTTTTTTTTTCTTACAGGATTTAATTGTGATGGGAGCCCCAGGATCGTCTTATTGGACTGGCTCTCTATTTGTCTACAATATAACTACAAATAAATACAAGGCTTTTTTAGACACAAATAATCAAGTAAAATTTGGAAGTTACTTAGGTACTGTAAAAATGGACAAACTCCAGTCATCTCAGTCTTACAGATACAAGTTTCCCTTATTTATGATTATTAGTCTCTTCAAAAGATCAAAATGGCCAGTAGCAGTTAAAGAGTTCAGAAACTATCGCTTTAAGGATATAATCTATGAAACGTAATATTTTACATATGTAATTACAATCATTAATATATAGTTAGACTAGAACTCTGGGTTTAGTTTACTCTCGTAAGCTTGTATCTTTATGTAGTCAACTTGTTATTGTAAGCGTTGCATCTGTTGAGTGCTTACCATATCCCAGCAACTTTTTGTGAGCACTCCACATGAATTAATTTAATCATGTATGAGTCAGTATAGTTTCTTAAAGGGCCAAGTGAAAGTCGGTGGGGCTGTCGACAGCATTCTAGACAATGGGTAACATTATGAAGCATACAGGTCTAAAAACAGCTCATTGACCTTCACCTCATAAGTTCTTAGAATATTTCCCAGAGTTTATTCTTATCTTTCTCCTTTCCCTCCTCTTCCTCCCCCTCCATTTCCTCCTCCTCTTGTGCAATAGGACACTTTATAGTCTGTATTTCTACAGAAACCCAAGATTTCCCTGGTACAATTCCTCTGTTACAGTAAAAGAGATGCTTTTCCTATAGCTTCTTAGAAAATACAGATTTGTTTAAGCCGCGTGCTTCGCATGTAAGCAGCCTATACCCAGAAATAATTACAATAAGAAAAAGCAGCGTTTTTCCCATTCATACAGTAAGAATTCATTTTCAGAGGGAATTCATTTATAATTCAACATTTACTTGTTTATGGTTGAGGGATATCTTGAAGTGTTGTAAGAAAGGTAATTAGGGGATGCCTCAGTCAGTTAAGCATCCAACTCTTGGTTTCGGCTCAGGTCATGATCTCAGGGTCCTGGGATCAAGCCCCACATTGGGCTCTGCACTCAGCGGGGAGTCTGTTTGGGGATTTCTCTCCCTCTCTCTCTGCCCCTCCCCCTGCTCATGGGCATGCTTTCTCTCCCTCTCTCAAATAAATCTTAAAAAAATAACTTAGTATTATGCCTTTTGTCATATAATAAAATATTTTACCTTTTGTGTCATCATACAGGTTTATTACAATAGAAGATTTCATGGCAAAAAAGTTGAAGTTTAGGAAGTTCTTTTACTTAAAGTTTAAAATGTTCTATTTTATTTTATTTTATTTTTTTATTTTATTTTATTTTTTTTTTTAGATTTTATTTATTTATTTGACAGGGAGAGAGAGGACAAGCAGGGGGAGCGGCAGAGGGAGAAGCAGGCTTCCTGCTGAGCCGGGAGCCCGATGTGGGGCTCGATCCCAGGACCCTGGGATCATGACCTGAGCCGAAGGCAGTCGCTTAACCGACTGAGCCACCCAGGCGCCCTAAAATGTTCTATTTTAGATACCTAAAATATTATGGTTGTAATCCTGGAGGCTAGCATGTCCTGGTACTACATAGAGACTAACCAAATGTAGAAGTGCTATCTTTAATTTCTAGTACTTGGAAATGTAAACCATGGGCCTAGTTTCATAATGCATACTAATGATTGCTTAAAGCATAGAATAAATGACCAGTTTTGAATATTGCTAAACTAAATATTCTTAAAACTGTTTAGTCATTTGGAGTTCAGTCTCAATTATTTCTATGAGTGGATTTGTGATGATACAGTTTACCCATCGCAAATGATGATTCTCCTACTTTTCTCCACTTTGTTTGAAGGATACTCAGTTGGAGCTGGTCATTTTCGGAGTCCACATACGACTGAAGTCGTTGGAGGAGCCCCTCAACATGAACAGATTGGTAAAGTAAGAATTACATTTTTACATTTATTTCCTCACCAAGTCTCAAAAACTTGGTGAGGAAATTGCATGAGAGGTGAAGGAAGAACTGCAAAGATGGTAAGAAGTGAAGGCTCGACACAATGAGCAGTGAACTGCATTTCGTGGTGAAAGTTGTATGGCTTTTAGATAAAATTTTATTAGAAAAGCTTTAAGGAGAAATTCTGTAAGTCAAATGAGGCTTTTCTTTCTTGTGAGTAAATTGTTCTTGAAATAAAATGATCTCAAGATGTCCAGGGAATGTATTTACTGGTTCACGAGTTTACAGATGATGGGATATTGAGACAGCTGCATGTTTTGGGGTAAGACCAGAAAGAAGATATTCTTTCTGGTTCTGGTTTTTGTTACGTTACTGTGTGGACATTACTAAACTTTTCTGAGCCTTACTTTGAAAAGTGAGGCAAACAACACTTGCTGTGCCCTCGGGGATCAATACCATCGTTCCTGAGAAGACAGTTTGGCAAGGAAGTCCTGTTAATGTGAATGTGCTTCACCTAAACCTCTTGAATCACTCTGAAAAGGAATTTCAAAAATCTTTGTGAGCGGTTACACGTTATGAAAATTGATGTTTTGATCCCCTGAAGATTTTTTTTTTTAATGTGCTAGCAGTCTGAGTTTTCCTAATTCCTTTCCCAATTGCAGGCATACATATTCAGCATCGATGCAAAAGAACTAAATATCTTACATGAAGTGAAAGGAAAAAAGGTAGTGTCTCCATCTTTGGTATCGCTGAGAGCTTTTGTGAATAACTGCTTTTTTTCCCTCGGTGACTGGATCTGGTTTTGTTTTCGGGCAGCTTGGCTCTTACTTTGGAGCCTCTGTGTGTGCTGTGGACCTCAATGCAGATGGCTTCTCAGACCTACTCGTGGGAGCTCCCATGCAGAGCATCATCCGGGAGGAAGGCAGAGTGTTCGTGTACATCAACTCTGGCTGGGTAAGTCCAACTGCTCACCAGCTAGAGGCTGTTGATGGGATTAAGATAGAAATTGAAGCTATTCTTATTCCAGAGTTCTGTATCTAGATCCTTAGGCTAATTTTACTGACGAAAGTAAAAACTCCGGTATGGTACTAAAGCTCTAAAAGTGGAACATGCTTGGAGAGGGGAAGCTGTTGATATTCCAGAAGCAGGAGATCAATTGTTCTGTTTTTTTCCTACTCACATCTTGTCCTTCAAGTGGTTGGAGTTCCTTTTAGTTTTATTATGATCCAAATCTAATTTGAAAGAATGATTTTTCTATATCCCTCAAAATGTGGATTTATTATTGGTTCTGTCGTGAATGTCTTTAATTAGAAATATTACCAGAAGGAGAAGATAAAGTATGAGATGCTTTTATTGATTTGGAAACAGTAGGAAACCATATGTTTTGATAAGATGTTAGTTTGCACAATATTTGTAGATGATATTCCTGAAAAGAGTATAAAATGGGCATAGCTCATTCCAAAGTGGATATAGTAGTTGTAGAAATAGGTAATTACCACTTACGGTTGAGTTTTAGATTATGGGGGATGTTGTGGAGTAGAAACTGACCACTTCACAATTCAATTTAAAGAGTTCTGCTGACCCTATCTTGCCAGTCTATCTTCTTGGCATTAAATCAAAACAAAGAACTGATAGGGCCTTAATGGGGTCTTCTTGGTCTGTTCCTTTGATTTAAGAGCAAGAAGGGATTTGTGAGAAAATTGGGTCCTTTCTTAAGGCACAGCATGTTTAGTCAGGATTCAACAAAGTAAAATCTGTTTCAAGAAGGTATTTGTAATCTTAATGGTTTTAGAGCATTTAATAAGTTCCTATATTAAGCATCAGACTAAACACTGTATGATTCAAAAGAGAAAATACTGTCTTATAAAGCTAAGAGATTTTCAAAGTTCCAGATATAGAGCAACAAAGTTATTTATGAACTGGGATTTCCATAGACTGTGTTTAAACTTAAATTTAGTAGTAAAGCAATACCATCTACAAAGTGATCATTCACATGTCCTTAATAGCAATATTAGGCTTTACTTTTTTCTTTTCTTTCTTTTTTTTTTTTTTTGTAAAGACCTTTCACATTTCCCTATCCATAAGTGGTCTTCTTATACCAGCTACATCCTCATTCTGCATACTTTTCCTTCTCTTTATAACTAAACTTTATGGGAACACTTTAAAAATTATCATATACACCTAAAATAAGGCGATATATGATCTTTTTTTCTCACTGATAATCCTAAGCAGTCCTAATAGGAAAGACAGATAAAAGTGTATCTCTTTTGTTTAAAGGGCAAGGAAGGAGCCCTACCCATTAGGCTGCCCTCTTGTTCTTCCCTCATGCCTCCCCTGAGGCACCACTGTTGAATACGAGGTAATTTCATAATTGATTTCAGCTTTTAACGCCTCTGACATAGGTGATTCTTTGTTCCCTTCTAACTTCGTATTTGTTAACTCTCTAAAATGGCACTCGCCACTACCTAGCATTATATTCCATATTTATTCATCTGGTTTGATATTGTCCTTCTGCTGGAGTATAGACACTGTGTGGAGAGGAATCCTCTGTCTTGTTTACTGCTGTTTCTTTTGGGTTTGAAAGAGTACTGGAGAAATGGGTGCTCAATAATTGTTTTTGAATGAACTCAAGAAAGAATGATACTTGAATGAATCTTGCTTCCACCTACTTCTGTTAAAATAACTCTCAGAGGTCCCCCAAGAACTCTTGGTCACCGTTCTCTGACTGGAGAATACTTGAAGAGTGATCACCACTTCGTGAAACCCTCTTCCTGGGAACTCCAGTGCCATTGGTCTGCACCTTCTCATCCTCCCGGGAGCCCTTTCTCCCTTCTCCTTAAATTAGGCATTTCCTTTGGAGCCTCGCGAGCTCTCTTGTCCCTTATTTCTTGATAAAATCATTTACTGTTCCTGGTGCCGGTGATTCTGTCTGTAGAGATGATTCATTAAAAAAAGTAAACATTTAGTGAGTATCTGAAATGGAACAAAAACTATGAAAACAGCTGAGAATAATCTTAATCCTGACCTCTAAGACCTCAGGTCCAGAAAAGACATAAACACGAGAGTAAAGAATTGAATACAACATGGTAAATAGCACATTAGTAGCATGTACAAAGCAGAAGCAGCAATTCACTTTGGTCTAGAAGGATTCACAGAGGAAGTATTTGAACAAGACAAGTTTAGGAGTTTTTTAGTTGGAAAATAAAAGGTGAAGGGTGTTTCACAATCACAAGCAGAAGAATTTGTGTGTGATTAGGGAATGTTGAATAGACTTGTTTAAGAAGAGGAAAGGATCCGGGCGCCTGGGTGGCTCAGTTGGTTAAGCGGCTGCCTTCGGCTCAGGTCATGATCCTGGAGTCCCGGGATCGAGTCCCGCATCGGGCTTCCTGCTCGGCAGGGAGCCTGCTTCTCCCTCTGACCCTCCCCCCTCTCATGTGCTCTCTGTCTCTCTCATTCTCTCTGTCTCAGATAGGTGGATAGGATCTTTAAAAAAAAAGAAGAGGAAAGGATCCGCTATGATGAATAGTGTGTAGATTTTTTTTTTTTCTTACTACATAAGAGTGACATGATCAGAGTTTGGAAAGAGGTCTGGTAGTTGTTATTATAATGATTCATTATTGCAACATTATTGAATGTCTTATTGTAATAACTCCTCTTCCAATTTAAGAGATAGCAGTTGACCTATTCATGTTTCATTGCTAAGGCTCCAAAGGCCAGCTTCAGGTATGCCGACTCCTCAACTCAGAAACCTTCAGTGGCTTCCTAGTCCTTAAATTGAGAGTAAATTTCCCTCAGTATTGAAAATACCACACCATAACATTTCAGTCTGGTTTGGTTTGGTTTGGTTTGGTTTTTGGTCTTCTTCATTATACATACTGTTTGTAATAGCCAAATTCTTTGGAATTTGTTCTGCTGATAATACTCTATATCAAAATTATGTCCACCCTTCAATAACCACCTTGAATATCATCTTTTATGAGATCTCACCTTGTTTTCACAATTAGATATGCTGTCCTTGCTTCTTGACAATACAAAGCAGTTTGTACTTCTGAGTCGTTTACATGTTTGTGCTAAGCCTTCCCTGTAACTAGGCTTCTTCAGGAAGGGGAGTGTGTCTTGTACACACACTGCCTTGTCCTCTTTTGCCTGTTCACTCTTTGTGTAGTGCATTGCCTTTAGTAGGAACTCAATAAATATTTGTTAGATTGAATTATCGAAATGATTTATTGGATTTTCAAAGCTAGGGATCATGAGTTTGACGATTTTTATGTCCTCTGAGCTCTAATCATACTATTATATGTGTTGACATACTTGATAAATATTTATTAAATTGAACTGAGATGTGTGTACTAAAGCTCAGTCTGTAGTTTGTCCAACTTGTTTGAAGCATTAGAAAAAAATCCATATCCAATTACAAAGGTAAATCATGTGTAAAGTTGTCAGGGAGTGTTATGATGACACCTTTTCTCCCCTTTTCTGTCTAGGGAGCAGTAATGAATGAAATGGAAACGGAGCTCATTGGAAGTGACAAATATGCTGCAAGATTTGGGGAATCTATAGTTAATCTTGGTGACATTGATAATGATGGCTTTGAAGGTAATTCAAAGTATCTAATTCAATACTTGATTTCTGCTTTGAAAATGGTACATGGAAGAGCATATGAGTGGAATTTTAGGTCATTTGCCTTTGTCTAGAAAATGGAGCCAGAATGTTATGCTAAGTGTATTTTTTTTTTTAGTGTTACATCTGACTTCTCCTCACTTGTCAGTTATTGATTAATTGATCAGACTCCTTAGACTGTACTATTTGATAATAAGTACAGTAAAGATACTGACAAGACGCAACAGAGGCTGGCTGCCAAGCTGGAGCAGGTTCCAGAAGACTCCTGTTGTGCTAGGCATTCATTATTCAGCTGTTGTACTGTGGAAGGATTTGGGGAAATGTGGGAGAGAGTCCTAAGCAGTGGTAAGGGGGCAACTGGCAGACCCAGCAATAGTGGCTATTTACCAACTGATATGGAAACCTCTCCAGAATGGAATAGGTGTCATTACGGAGTCTGTTGCCAGGGTGTCAGCCCTGCTGTTGAAGTACCTGTGTCTACCCGCCTTCCCTCTTAACATTGACTCTTTTCAATCTAAAGCTGAGGGGTAACTAAGTCTGGTAAAATTGTGCATAAAATGATGAATGGATTCGAGAGGAGTGTGCGTAATTTCTAGAGTTCAGCAAGTAAGTATTTGATGCTTTCAGGGCTCAGAATTGTCTTTCCTCTTGATATGGCCATTGGCGATTGGTATATGGTGATGTTAGGTTGCAATTTACTCAGATACTAGAAATAAGCGAGGGAGTACTCTTAAGTTTTCACTTGTTTAATTTCTGATGCGTAAAGACTTCATTCTACTTGAAATGTATAAAATACGTTTGTCTTCAAGAAGAAAGTGGGTTATTGAATATCCCTTTTGAATATATATAGAATATACATCGCATGTCGAATATATGAACCCTATTAAATGTCAGAGAGTGTAATTTGGTGTACAAATATTACCATTTCTAGAGTTTTTCTAGTTCTATTTTCTATTTCTGAGTTTAGGTTCTTTTTTAGATTCCACATCTTAGTGAGGTCATACAGTGTTAGCCTTTCTCTGACTTATTTCATTGAGCAAAATGCTATCTAGAACATACATGTTGTCACACATGGCAGGATAATTTCTTTTTTATGGCTGAATAGCATTTTTGTTTTGCCAATGAGTTAGCATTTTGTACGTTTTGGATATGAACAAGACCCTGAGGATTTGGAAGCAGGGTCAGTACTTCTTCCCTGAGGCCCTTTCCTCCATATCTGCCTGAGTGAGAAAGCAAGGCACCTGTGTTTTATTTTTCTTTATGTACTTCCCTATTTCTTTACCCCAACTCTATCTTACTTAATTTTATGGGAGTAAATGGATGAAGTTACTTTGTGTTCATGGCAGGATGTGTGAGATGGTGTAGAAAGGGAATGAAAATCTCACCTGTTCCTTTTCCCTCCACCGCCAGGCAGAGATGCAAATCAGAGTCAATGTCCTCTTACTATGCACACTTTTGTGGTGTTTTCCATAGCAGACCTAAGTTATTTTTGCATTCATCATATCCTTTCCCTTTTTTGTATTCAAAAAAGAAAAAATATGAATTTCCTGTGCACTTAGAAAAGCAAAGCAAGCCATTTGCTAAGGAGATAACCAGTTTGGCAACAGTCCAGCATAAAAATTGCATCAAAAGGATGAGGAAGTTAGGGAAGAGGTACACGAACAGACCTACATGACGAACATGCCTGGCAGGCAGCATTCAGGTTTCATCCGTAAAAGAGATTTGGCAAAAACCGCTTATTTTTAGTTGAGGTTTTTTCACCTTGAGCATTTTTATGTGACTGTTAGACTATATGTTTGAGTATTTTTTGAGCCAAGCCATAAGAAAGTTCTATAATTGTAAATTATAAGCTGTATTATTATTACTTTATGTGCCCCTGAAATAAATATTGATAGATTATCAAATCATGAATTGAACAGTTCTTTGACACAGAACAGGAGAAGTCTTCAGGGGAAGAAAACACTGGGTAGAGCCTGTAGAGTTAATGATTCCACAGAGCGTGGGAATGAGTGAGCATGGCCTCTGGAGCCAGAATGCAGTGTTTGTATCCCAGCTGCTTCACGTCCAAGCTCTGGGGCCTTGAGCAAGTTATACTCTGTGCCTCAGTTTCCTCATCAGAGTTGGGATCAAAAAGTATCTACTCGATATAGTTGTTTTTAGAGTTACATGAGTTAGTACGTGTGAAGCCCCTAGAGTGGTTCCCCATGTTGTAATAAGCATTATGTGTTAGCTGATGTTAAAATTATTGTGATTATACCAGTGATAATTATAGTTTACACTAACAATGAAATAAAATGTTCAGATGGAAAGTAGGAAACATTGTCAAATATGTCCGCGTTTGTTCTGTATGTTGTGTCCCAAATGGACTTGCACAGACATAAAAAAAAAAAAAATAATGTGTGTTTTCCTTCTAACTATAATGATTGCTAAAATTTTAGTATTTTCTATAAAAGATCCAAATATAATCCTAGAAAATAAGAGTTTGGACCTATATATAAGCTAGGAAAAGACTGAATGCAATCCACATGTCTTCTGCTTGGAATGACCTTGATCTGGGCCTTTTTATATTTCCTTTGAAAAGGCCCATTTGTATTGTTTCAAGATATGTGCCTTACATCACTACGGCTAGTAATTGTTACTGCAAGAATTTCCATGTATCAACACCTTTGTAGCCCAGACTTATGATCTTCACATCCTAGTTACTCAGGATGTAGCCATACTGGCTGAAGTCTAAACCGGCCTTGAAGAATGGCATCTGTAACTGGTCTTGTCTTCAGTGGCCACAGGACACTTCTCCCCACACTCCTTCCCTTACCTCCCTCTTCCTCTCCCCTCTCCCTCTCTCCCTTCCTGCTCCTTCCCCTTATGTTCCTGTGAGTATTTAGGCTGTATATATGGCTCCCGGTATTTCAAACTCACCGCCATTGTTCACGTGTGCAATGTTGCCCCTTTGTCACCTGCCATTACGCAGCCTGTTTCCTCTGTCTAAAGTGCCTTCACCCTGTGCTTCACCTGGCTGTCACCTGTCAATACGGAGTCTCAGCTTGGGGCTTCCTCTTCTATGCAAAGCCTTCCATCATTTCCCCCACCGTCTCGTATGTGGTATTTTTATTCTGGTTTTACCTCCCTTCTTCCCCACAAGAATAAAGTTCCTTTTCGTGGTACTGCCCTGTATGACCAGCACCTGGAAAATGCCCAGAATACAGTAGTTGTTCAGTAGTTGTCCACTGAATAAATCACTGAATGGGTACAGTTGTATATGAGAATTTAAAATACTTTGCACAGGTCAAGAGAGCAGCCTTACTATGTCTAAACTATAAATATAAGGTATGTCTATCACTTACTTCTTGGTATTAGAAATTGTACAGCATTTGGAGGACCTGGCTGACTTAGTTGGTTGTCATGCGACTCTTGATCTCGGGGTCGTAATTTCGAACCCCACGTTGGGTGTAGAGATTACTTAAAAATAAAATCTTGAAGAGGAACCTGGAGGTTCAGTTGGTAGACCATGTGACTCTTGATCTCAGGGTGGTGAGTTTGAGCCCCAAATTGGGCATGGAGGCTACTTAGAAAAAATTTTTTTAAAATTGTACTGCATTTGGCATAGAATTATATTTCAAGAAGGTTTTTATTCTCATTGAAACAGCAGTCAGAAATTACTATTGTAGTTTTTAAAGTTTTAAATCTGATAAATTAGTAAGTATTGACTATCATGAAAGCAAACTTTCTGTATTTTAGGTTTCTGTTGAAGTAATAAGAAAACATTACATATGAATAAACACATGAATATACCCAAATAAATAGACATAATACCTTGTAACACTAATGAAATGCTCTTGCAACTATAGAATGTTATTTTTCTCCTGTGCATTTTGTATTTATGGCTCTTAAGCAACCATGTCATTCATAGTTTGTTTTCTCTTGCTTATGTCAGTTGATTAACTATTTTTTCTCCTGGCATCATAATCTGACGTGAATCCCAAGTCATAAAAGTGATGCAGTCATTACTTTACAGAACAAATTCACTTTCCAAAATCTAGTTTGCATGTATGTATGTGTATAAATACAGATATCCTTAACAAATACCTTAATTGCTTTCACTGAAACAGGAATTTAGAAGTCCTTTTGCAAATAAAGTAAAACCCAGAGCTCAAAATAAAGAATCTTAGGGTTATAATACTCACAGATGATAATTTATGTGCTGGGGTCTGCTCTAAACACTTTACATGAGCTACATCCAATGCTGAGGGTGAGTTCTTCTCTTATGATCCCATGCTATAGGTGAGGGGCCCGAGACACGATGAAGTTAAGAAATGGGCCTGGCTGAGGGTCAGGCTTTGGTGGTTTGGCTGGAGAGCCCACATCCTTAACCATTGTGTTAGAGCGTGTCTCAGACCTCTTCACCCTGCTGCTTCGATGCACAGATGATTCTGCACAGTCCTGTACATTGTTATGATGATATTTATTTTGTGATACTTTTTTCTGTCTAGTGAGTAAAGTATTTGTTTTTTTTTGATAAGGAATTTTCTTATGTGATATGAATTAAGTATGAAAGTTAGTTTTCAGAGTTGCATTCTTTATACTAAGAATTTATTTATTTATTTTGCCACTGAAATTCTGGAATAGATGTCGCGATTGGAGCTCCACAAGAAGATGACTTGCGAGGTGCTATTTATATTTACAATGGCCGAGCAGATGGGATCTCATCAGTGTTCTCACAGGTAGACTACTACTCTGTTTTGGAAAGAAGCATTGATAATAAACGATTCCTGAAACTTCCGGTGTTAGTGTGGACTTATTTTTCTTAATTTGCTCTTTCAAGTATTTAATATCTATTTCACCCTTTTCTTGTGATAAGAGTAGGTGGTCTCATTTTGAAGGTTGTTAATAACTCTTTGAAATCATTTTTTTCCATAACTAAGAGTTTTGGTTCACATCCATTCTTGTTTGTTTGTTTGTTTGTTTTGATGTAGTGTTCCATGCATTCTCATTTGTTTTTAACCTACTGAAGATTTTCTTTGCGTTCCACAAATTTATGTTCTGAGATGGTATCTGTACTGTTTTGAATAAGCCCATGTGGCTTTGATTAACTGTGTCTTGCCTTGTGCCTAAAGCCCCATATTTCAGGGAGGTCACACTGGGAGAGCGAACACATGATACTCTGTTCCTTTCAGGCGCAGCTTCAGGATGGAAGCTTTTAATAAAGTTCCCTGATCTGACTTTACTTTTGTTTTTTGACAAATCAGGGTATTTCGGTGCATAGAAAACACTCCATACACATGCAGAGAAGTTTTTCTAAAGATACTTTTATGGAAATATTAGCTAATACTGTTATTTTTGGTGGAGCAAAATGGACAAATGGTTCTCCATATTTAACATGAGAAATCTATACTTGTCTAGTAAAAATTACTGATTTTCTTAGCATGGATAGCAGGCTGATATATGTAAATCAGCATCTGGATGTGAAATTAGACCTATAAAATAGGAAACACATGTCTGACTTCAATTGTCACATGCTAGGAAACAGTCTGGCTCAATAGGGTGGCTTTCATCATAAGCCTGAGGAGTAGGCTCCACTAAGTGATTATGCATGTCTCCTTTTCCAAACTACTTGTTTGGTTTTTCATGTTCATCTGGGAAATAAATACAGAGCCTGAAAGGAGACTGGGGAGAGGGAGTCAAGGCTGGTTAAGAAGATCTGTACTATATAATTTTCTCTTTGTGATTTTTTTTTTCTAGTCACGAAGTAATTTTTTTCTTCTAGTCACAAAGTAGATGTCACCTGCCCAATTCAAACTGGAAACTTTTGTTTCTCTTAGATGCATGTATTTGACTTAAATGCATTTTGTTAGAAAATGTGCCTGGGTATTGTAAGGCTCATTATTTAACTAAATCATTGCTTCTCTGAGATATCAGGTGTGCAAAAACTGCTTCCTACTCAACTTACTTATTTTTCAGAGAATTGAAGGACTTCAAATCAGTGAATCATTAAGTATGTTTGGACAGTCTATATCTGGACAAATTGATGCAGATAATAATGGTTATGTAGGTGAGTATAAAATCATATTTCATAAATTGAAATGAGCTCTATTGTGGATGTTGCTTTATTGCAAAGTACATAAAACTGGTATGGAAAAGTTCTAATCTACTGGTAATTTATTTCCTTCATTTTTAAAGCTCTTTTGAATTCAAGGATGGGTCAGAAATGATCAAATAATTCCTCAGCTTTACAGTGTTAGTTACTTGACATTTTATTCTTTGTTCTTGAAAAAATGAAAAGCACCTATGAAAATAAATCAAACATAAGATGCTGAAAAGAAAGACTTTTTTTTTGTACTTTGAGAGGAGATTCCTAGGTGAATGTTTGTAGTTAAAAATTTTAATATTTTTTTAGTAAGCTTATTTTTATATCCTATTTTTATCATAAAGTTTGCTTATAGTAAAGGGATGGATGTTATTACAGATGAATAGACTCAGACAAATGTGGAATGAATCCTCAGATGTAAGTATATCTTTTCTAATTAATTTTCTGTAAATGGTGTTTTGATACAGTCAAAAGGTGAAACATAGTGAAGTATTTATGGCTGAAAAATAATTCTCTTTGACTAATGATGTTCATTAATCTATTGTTTTTCATCCTCCAGATGTGGCAGTTGGTGCTTTTCGGTCTGATTCTGCTGTGTTGTTAAGGTAAGGTTGATGCATTTTACTGCTTAATGACAATTGGGCTTAATTGTAAATGATGGGAGGCAATTTTTAAAATCAGCATTGGTGGTGACCTCATAATGCGTTTTTTTTATTTTCTGAAATTTTATTGAACTTTAGGATACTCTTTCCACCTTACGTGGATATTATAATTAAACAAACCATCAAGCAAAGTCAATATTTTTAGCATTTAAAAGAAAATTTCTCTTGATTCATGCACAGAAATGTAATTGAGTGTATATGCACATAGTGTTAATAAAGCAATTTCATGAAGTTACTTGATGATGGCAACTGACAAAACAAATGCAGTTTTTTCTTAGGGAAAAAATAATTCTGCAGTTAATATTGCTAATTTTATTTCCTTTTTAGGACAAGACCTGTAGTGATTGTCAAAGCTTCCTTAAACCATCCTGAGTCAGTAAATAGAACAAATTTTGACTGTGTTGAAAATGGATTGCCTTCTGTGTGCATGGATCTAACACTCTGTTTCTCATACAAGGGCAAAGAGGTTCCAGGTTATATTGGTAAGGGTGCCCTTACAGAATTTACCCTGCCTGAGTGTGCACTCCACTCATTCATCTCGTGGTCCTCTTCTGAGCCCTCACTGTGTCTCACCTTAGAGGCCAAGACACTCGCTGCCTCATCTCTTGGGTTCTTGTGTTGTTCTTACCAACAAGAGGGGCACCATAGGAGGCTATCGTTGTCTAGAAGTTATGACAAGAAGAAAAGCGGGAGTATCACTTGCTATATTAGGGTGAGCTAAACTGAGCTTTAGCTTTAGTTTAGAATAGAAAGAACATTCTCACAGTTTCTCCTCCATTTAACTGGGCTCCTTCTATAGCTGAAGCTGGCTTAAGTTGGAAGTCCTGAGAGGGAGAAGAGTCTTTTCTTTATATTTTATCCTTTGAGTAACTGAAGAAGCTTATCTCAAATCTAGACGCTGATTCCAATTTCCATAAATAACACACATCTCTCAAAGATTTTCTGTGACTGTCAGCTCCTGAGAGCCACGTCCTTTTCTCTTTACTGAGGTAGCTCTCAGTACATAGCAGCTGCTCTGGAGAAAGTAGCACTGATCTGGCTCATGCAAAATTGTGGTTAATGTCAAATCACATACATGTGACTTTGTGTATATTACATTTTTTCTAGCAGGTTATGTTCCTGTTTATGTTATACTTAAGCTAATATTAGAATGACTAATGAAACTAGCCAATGGTAGGGGAGAAGCATACCCAGGTTTTTTATTTGGACGTTAATAATATATACAGTTCATGAGCCACGCAAGACCTATCAAGAGTTGATTGTATTTGTGACCCTGCGGGCTCTCATCATCCAAACATCATGAAGGGCAGCAAATACGCTGAACCAAACTATGGGTACATAGTTTCAGAGGTCTCAGTCCGAATTAGCCTGTAATGAGAAGTGCAGAATGAGCCTAGTAGATCTACTTTAGATCAAACTCATTTTTAAAAGTGCACTGCCGAAGTCCTGGCTAGAGCCACCGTGGTAGGACAGTGGGCAAAACCTTAATCTAAGGTTACAGATCGGAGAAGTGCTAATGTCAGAGCATGGCCCCAGGAACACAGTAACACGGTCACACTGATGGATTATCTGAACGATACACGTTAAGCAGATACGACTGTTTCTCTTTATGCAAAACCAGTGCTTGTCCGACTACCAATTCCATTGTGACCAGACATTTTTAAAAATCGTTGAAAACAAATATATGAAACTCATAAATAATCACAACATTGTTACAAATACAAGCTTTACAGTTGCATAAAATGAGTCCTTGGGAGAAATAATTCACATGGTAAGCATGTTTATAAAACGAGGATGTTTTGCCACTTACTACAAGTGGGTTTTTATTTACCTTTTTTTAATTTACTTTTTGTGTGAACGCATGGTGATGAATTGTAGATCATTGTTTCAGTTGCAGCCAAGCCTCTGAGGCACTGAATCTCAGCTATTGTAATTTTGAAGCCAATTGACTTGGACTTTGTTATTTATTTTCTAAATAAAAGTAAGGTTAAAAAATTGATTTGAAGTTTGTAGGAGTATTACGGGTTTTATACTTCTGTTGCCTTGAAATTAGTAGATAAAATCCTTCTAGAAGAGTAAGTTACTCCTCAAATGTGATCGAACACTTCAGGAATTAAATAAATCCTTTAAAATATCATTTATGAATTATTGCACCTATATAATGAGCTGATATCTCAGCAAACTATTAGATGTAGCTTGTTTTGCAAAGAACCCTTTTAGATTTAAAAAATGGCTCTTTCTTGGTAATATCTGGCTTGGAATTTTTTTGGTTGCTTGTTAATTTTACTTAGATCTTTGCTGGTTGAAGATATTCATTAGCAGATGATTATTTACTATGTCAGATTTGAAGTAAATCTTACCAGACTGCCAGAATATTGAGAGAATGTCAGTATTTTGCACAAATCAACACTGGAAGTTCAAACTGGAAACCAATGAGAACACAGAGGAGATTAATCAGGGTCCAGGGCTGGAAAAGGAGACACCTTTGAGTAAACTGTTGATATAGGTTTGTAATGTTCACATTACATTTTAAAAAATAATAAATAACCTCTCAAATCAGAAACAAACAGAAAGAAATGAACCTAACCATACACAAAATTAGTTATGTAACCACACAAGATAGAATTATCACAAGTGGCGTTTGAGTGTAGTGTTCTGTCTATGCTTCCTTAGTTAGATATTCGAAGGACATAAAGGACTCCAGAGAAATCTGAAACTTTGCTCAGAACTTTTATTAGGAGTCACAGTTTTAGTATTGTAGTTTTGAAATGTTTATATGTAGGAAGATTAAGTAAATGAAGATGTTAATAGTTAAAAAATGGAAACCAGAGAGAAGTTTGTAAATTTTTTATAACAATTTTAACAATCAGTATTTTTAAATTGTTTCCTCTTCCATATTTTAGGCTAGTTTTTAAAAGCCTTTTAATGAAGAGAATTTAAGATACTTCTAGTGTTGGGATATAATTTTGACTATTTTCACTTAAAAATAATGCTTTTAGGGAATTATTTATATTAATTGCAATTCTCTCTGCATTTTGCAGTTTTGTTTTATAACATGAGTCTGGATGTGAACCGGAAGATAGACTCTCCATCGAGATTTTACTTTTCTTCTAATGGAACGTCGGATGTGATCACAGGCAGCATAAAAGTGTCAAGCAGAGGAGCTAACTGCAGAACACATCAAGCATTTCTGCGGGTAATGTAAACTCATTTTTATGAATGAATATGTAAACTTCAGTATTATCACTGCGGGTAATGTAAACTCATTTTTATGAATGAATATGTAAACTTCAGTATTATCACTTACTGCATTGGTATCCTTTTATAAAATGTGGTTACAAGCAAGTGTGATGCCCGCCTAAACTAGCTGACCTGTTCGTTGTTCCAGAGGTAAAATGTTTAACAGTCCTGTGACCTGGATCATCCAGGGTCCACTTCTTGCATCTTCTTTATTTCACATTTATCACACTTGACTGCATCACTCTTTTTTAAAGATTTGCCTTTTCCTTCCTACAATTGCTATCTCCGTATCCCTGTTTATACACTTCCCGAGAAATGCACGGAGTGAGTAGCACTGCTGAGCCTCAGATCTGTTCCCCTGGTAGGGTTTTTTTTGGTGGGGGGAGGAAGCAGGGAAGTTCGTTTGTTTTTCATGTGACTCTAGTGAAGCAGAATCCACCATGACTGCTTTCGGATCAGGCCTTTGTCCCCCGTGCCAGCAGATGTCAGTGGGAACCTGCACAGTTGCAGTGTGTGGGCATCATCTGTGGGCCAGGACAATGGCTCTCAGGATGTTTGGGGGTATGTCCTGCCAAAGCACAGCCAGTTTCATCTTTCTTTCATTAAAACACTCATTCCCAGACCAATCGTCCCATTCCTTGCCTTGGTCAACATTTTTTTCACATGAAGCAGTGCCAGGTCTTTCTCATCAGGGAATGGTGTACTTCATGAGAGAATCTATTGTCACAAAAAAGCCCAACTATCCCCGGGAGCCTTTTCTGGGATTTCAAATGGTTGCCTCAGCTTAGAACTTAATTTTCCCTGAGATACTTATTCCAAGCAAATGCAAACAAACATCAAGACTCTAACACTATTAAATGCTAAAAGTAATAATCCCTATGCTCTTTCCTCATTTCCCTTAACAGTTTTTATTGTCCTACTAGAATAAATCTATTAGGTGGTCGAGAGCCAGAAGTATAGATGCTATTAATGTAACCATTATTTATATGGTAGGGATTAAAGAGGGTTTGTTTGTTTGGTTTTTTTAAATCCTATATAGCTGTGATTTTACTTAGGTTAGTCAATTTTGGAGACTATCATTGAGACCATTTTCAAGGCAGTAAAAGGGCCAACATTAGACATTCACAAAGAAACGTATTGTGTTGAATTTATATCAATGACAGGAAATTGACCTGACTTCTTTAGCCCTTTGTTCCTTGGCATTGTTCCAACAAGTAAGGGTTCATCAAAATTTTACATTTTCAGCAGAATAATTTGCAGTGAAAAGGACAATTTAGCAGAGGCTTCTGTGTTATCGACGCTTACTTGTACTGTTACCCTGGTATGGATGGCAGCAGGTTACAGCCATTGACTTTTGACCATACTGTCAATACCAGACAAAAGCACTTGTCTCTGGGATTGGTACCTAGTAGCGTTTTTTTTGTTTTTGTTTTTTTTTAAAGTGAAACCATTATTAAAATTAAAACAGCTCTAGTTGTGATTCGGGAAGATAGGGAAATATAATGAGTGCATTTTCCACCCCCACCAGCATGGTAGCAGGAGGTATTCAGAAACATGGACATTACTATGCTTCTACAGTCCAAAAGATTGGGACAGAAATTGATACTCTTCTGCCATCTTAATGATAGTAGAAAAGATGAGCAGTAGTCAGGATGCCTGGATTGTCCCTTTGTTCCATAAACCTTGCCCCGTATCAGGAGTGTTAATGGGCATATTCAGCATCCCTTACAGTGAAATGAGGGGGCACTTGCTAATTATGTAGCCAGGCCCACAGCCCCTACTTCTAAGAAGACTCTGCTTGCCGGTTGGGCACATTTTCCTTGTGTAGTTGTTCCCTTTGGTCATACCAGTGAAGCTCCACCTCTCCATCCACACAATTAATTCCATAGGTATTTGAGTACCAATGTTGCATCAGGTTCCATTTGAGACACTTGCGTATAGTAGTGAATGAAATATAAAAAAGATCACTACCCTCACTGAGTTTACAGTCTAGTGGAGTGAGACAAACCACGTGATAAACATGAAATTTTATACCATTTTAGAAGATATGGGTGATTGAAAAAGGAGAAAGGGCAGAGTACAGGAAACTGTGGAGTGCTGGGAAAGAAATGAAGGGTGCGTTTTATTTATTGAAGTATAATTAACATACAGTGTTATATTAGTTTTAGATGTTGAATATAACAATTTAACAATTTTATACATTAGTGCCCATCATGATAAATGTATTCTTTTTTAAATTTTGACTCCAGAGTAGTTAACCTACAGTGTTATATTACTTTCAGGTGTACAATATAGTGATTCAATAGTTCCACGTATTACTCGGTGCTCATAAGACAAGTGTACTCTTAATCCCCTTTATCTGTTGCACCCATGCCCCCAACTTCCCTCTCTCTATTCTCTGTATTTGAGTCTGTTTTTTGTTTCTCCCTTTTTCTTTGTTAGTTTTGTTTTTTAAATTCTATAAATGAGTGAAATTGTATGGCATTTGTCTTTATCTGACTTATTTTATTTAACATTATACTCTGTGGTCCATCCATGTTGTTGCAGATGGCAAGATCTCATTTTTTTTTTTATGGCTGAGTAATATTCCTCTGTGTGGGTGTGGGTGTGTGTGTAAGTGTATACACAACATCTTTATCAGTGGACACTTGGGCTGCTTTCCTCTCTTGGCTATCGTTAATAATGCTGTAGTAATAGGGGTGCATATTTTTTTGAATTAGTGTTTTCATTTTCTTTGGGTAGATACCCAGTAATGGAATTACTAGATCATATGGTAATACTATTTTTAATTTTTTAAGGAACCTCCATACTGTTTTTCCACAGTGGCTACACCAGTTTGCATTCCCACCAACAGTCCACAAGGGTTCCTTTTTCTCTACATCATCGCCGATACTTGTTATTTCTTATCTTTTTTATTCTAGCCATTCTCACAAGTGTAAGATTCTGATTCTAGCCATATCTATCTCTTGTGGGTTTTTTTAAACATTTTATTTATTTATTTGACGGAGAGCGAGAGAGCACAAGCAGGGGAGCAGCAGAGGGAGAGGGAGAAGCAGGCTCCTGGCTGAGCAGGGAGCCCAATGTGGCGCTTGATCCCGGTTCTAGTAGTTTTTTGGTAGAGTCTTTAGAGTGTTCTATATATGGAATCATTTCATCTGCAAATAGTGAAAGTTTAACTTTTTCCTTACCAATGTGGATGGCTTTTATTTCTTCTTCTTGTCTGATTGCTGGGTAGGACTTCCCATACTATGTTGAGTAAAGGTGGTGAGAGTAGGCATCCTTGTTTTGTTCCTGTTCTTAGAGGAAAAGCTTTCAGTTTTTCACCATTGAGTATAATTTTAGCTATGGGTTTTTTACACATGGCCTTTATAATGTTGAGGTATAGTCCCTTTAAATCTACTTTGTTGGGAGTTTTTATCATGAGGAAATGTTGTACTTTGTCAGATGCTTTTTCTGCATCTGTTGAGATGATCATACAGTTTTTATCCTTTATCTTATTGATTTGATGTACCACATTGACTGACTTGTGAATATTGAATCACCATTGTGTCTCTGGAATAAATCCCACTTGATTGTGATAAATGATTTTTTTAATGTATTACTGAATTTAGTTTGCTAATATTTTGTTGAAGATTTTTCATCTATGTTAATCATGGAAATTGGCCTATAATTTTCTTCTTTTGTAGTGTCTTTATTTGGTCTTGGTATCAGGCTAATGCTGGCCTCATAGAATGAATTTGGAAGTTTTACTTCCTCTTCTATTTTTTGGAATAGTTTGAGAAGAATAGGTATTAACTCTTTAAATGCTGGGTAGAATTCACTGCGAAGTCATCTGGTCCTGGACTTTTGTTTGTTGGGAGTTCTTTGATTACCAATTCAATTTCACTGCTAGTAATCGGTCTGTTCAAATTTTCTATTTCTTTCTGATTCAGTCTTGGAAGGTTACATGTTTCTAGGAATTTGTCCATTTCTTCTATGTTGTCCAATTTCTTGGCATATAATTTTTTCATAATATTCTCTTATAATCCTTTGTATTTTTGTGGTGTCAGTTTCTCCTTTTTCATTTCTGATTTTATTTTTGGTCTTCTCTCTTACTTTTTTCTTGGTGAGTCTGGCCTAAAGATTTATCAAATTTGTTGAACTTTTCAAAGAACCAGCTCCTGGTTTCCTTGATCTTTTCTATTGTTTTGTGTTGTTTTGGTTTTTTTGTTGTTGTTTGTGTTTTTTTGTGTTTTTTATTTTTTAGTCTCTATTTCATTTGCTTGTTCTCTGATCTTTATTATTTCCTTCCTTCTACCAATTTTAGGTTTTGTTTGTTCTTGTTTTTCTAGTTCCTTTAGATGTAAGGTTGAGTTGTTTGCTTGAGTTTTTTCATTTCTTGAGGTATGTCTGTATTACTATAAAATTTCCCTCTTAGAACTGCTTTTGCTGCATCCTAAATATTTTGGACAGTTGTGTTTCCATGTATTTTATTTCCTTTTTGATTTCTTGGTTTGCCCATTCATTGTTTAGTACCATGTTGTTTAGCCTCCATGTGTTCGTGCTTTTTTCCAGTTTTCTTTTTTTTTTAAAGATTTTTTTAAATTTATTTATTTGACAGAGAGATAGCACAAGTAGGCAGAGCGGCAGGCAGAGTGAAAGGGAGAAGCAGGCTCTCTGCTGAGCAGGGAGCCGGATTCAGGGCTCCATCCCAGGAGCCTGGGATCATGACCTGAGCCGAAGGCAGGCGCTTAACCGACTGAGCCACCCAGGCGCCCCTTTTTTCCAGGTTTCTTGTAACTGATTTCTAGTTTCATATTCTTGTGGTCAAAAAAGATGCATGATATGATTTCAGGCTTATTAAAATTTATTGGGACTTGTTTTGTGGCCTAACATGTGATCTCGCCTGGAGAATGTTCCATGTGCACTTGGAAAGAATGTGCATTCTGCTGTTTTTGGATGGAATGTTCTGTATGT